CCTTCGCAGCCTCAGGTACCGCCGCCGTCGCGGGGACGGGGCTGTGGGAGGCGGGCTGCGGGTTCCGCAGCGGCTGCTGCGGCTGCTGCCGCCGCCCCTTCAGCCCCCCCTCAGCCCCGCCGCGCTTGTCAGCCGCCGCCGGCGGTGTCGAGGGGAAGAGGCCTCGGCCGCGCCGGCCCGCGGGGCTGAGAGGGGGCGAGACCGGGCCCCGCCTGTCCCCGGGAAGGGGACTTTGCCCCCTCTCACTCACGTTTGTGTTGGAGAAAGCACTCTCCTCTCCCCGCCTGGCTCGGCCGCGGGGGCTGTGCCGCCCTGCCCGGGGAAGGAGGGGATGTGCGCGGCGGGGACGTGTTGTGTGGAGGGGGCTCCGCGTTGCCGGGGGCGGGCGGGCAGGCAGGCAGGTGGCGAGCGCTCTGTCCGGCCTCGCCTGAGGTGCGAGGAGGTTCCTCCTTCCCCCCGGCTTGGGCCGCGTCTCTCCTCCCCCCCCAGGATCTCCAGTGCCTGTCCTACGTGCGAGTGCAGGACGGGTACTCGTTCTTCCTCCTCTGTGATCCCCAGGGCTTGAGCCATGTTTCTTTCTCCTCAGGCATCCGCTTTTTTTCTGAGCGTGTTAAGGAGATTTATTAATTTCCTTCTCTTCTTTGTTCCTGCTAATTTTCCCCAAAGATACCTGTCGGCAGGCAGGAAGGTGAAGACCCCATTCGCTCTGAAAGCACGTTTCTGGATGCAGTGATTTCGCCAATTTCTAGCTTGCCCGGAAGGCTCAGCTTTCAGATGTAGGAGTGACCTGTAGTTTTGCAGGCTGCTGTGCTTGATCTTATCTGTGGCCGTCTATCCCGTGACAAAGCGTGATATGTTTAGATCTTGCGCTCGACAAGATTAGATGAGTAGCATGTGAAATGGATGTCACTTGTCATTCTTAGCTAATCTTAAATATATAGCTACTGGTGGCTGAGAGATCGCTCCGTACATAGTAACGCTCAGATAGGCCTTGGCAGCTTGATGGGAAGTTTTTTCCTCTAATGTTATTGGAAGAGCATGAGGAGGAGAGCAATGTCAGTTCTGCTTGGCAACTTTCACTCTGCAAAGCTGGGACTAGAATGTTTCAAACTTGATATTGTCATAGGTGTTCATGTCCAACGGGGTTGTTGTAGTCATGCTGGGATGCTGTATGGATGAACCCGAGAACTCTGTGGTTAGATACTCTGGTAGCTGGTAAAGACTCCAAAGTATGCAATAGATTAATATTCTGCCTTCCTACTTCTATGTAAGAAAACTTACTTCAAACTTTGTTTCATGAATTTTGAGTAAGTGCTGAATAGAAAACTTTTTCAAGTGTTCCTTTTATTTCTTGGATACCAGGATCCAGCTGTGCCATGACAGTTTGATTGTATGACTGTTACATTGTGTGCTGCCAGATTCCTGAAACATCTCTTCATATGAAATTAAATTCTCTTATTTTGGTACTAAAATTAGTGTGTGTTCTGTGCGGATTTTGATCTTATATAACTTTTTTTTAGCTAGGAATAGTGATCTCTAATTGTACTTAATATAGGCATGAAAAACTTGGCTTCAGTTTCTTTTTCTGAGTCTTCTGCTTCACTGTATTCTACAGGAAACTTTCCTTGAGTAAAGATTACAGGGCTGTAACGAATATAATTGTCAGGTTGCATAAGTCTCACCTTTCCATTTTTTTCTGGAGATTCTTGCCTTTGCTCTCATCCCGTGATACCCCTTGAAAGTTGAGTGGAGGTCAGAGTTGTGTTAAACTACTTTTGCTTTAATGCATATTTCCAGATTTAGAAGGATGAGTGTAAAATGTCTGTCAGTTTACTTTCATTTTTTTTCTGGTTAAAGTGTTCCTGTTTATCTTATCTCAAAAGTAATCAAATATGAAATGAGAATCACCTGATGACAGTACATGTTAAAGGGGGAGTTGTATCCCAGAACTTGTATTATTGGAGCAGCCGGTATAACTGGAAAAACTAAAACCTTTTCTTCTGTGTGCAAACCTTATCTTGATATGTTGTCTTCCAAATTGTGTATGAAATAATCTTGAGTAAATACAAGGAAGAATTTCAAGTTGACTTGCTTGTACCATGGTTTGTGACTGTACTGCTCTTCTGAGTCTCTTATTATTATGTACTTTTTTTGGGTGGGGGTGTGCATGTGTTGTTTTTCATAGAACAGCTAGAAGCAATACTCCTGTTTTGCAATGATTTGGCAGGTTTTTTATTTAGAATGTTCTCTTTCCTAATTGTCAATACTATAAAAGCTATTTCATATTTTGTGAACTTCGTATGTATTTCATTTTAGGGTGGAACTTTCAGTATGAAAAAAGTGATAGTCTGCACAAAGCAACATTTAGTGCCATAGAAATAAGATTGCACATTAAGTATCCATGGTGGAGTTATACGTCCTGTCTTCAGAAGTCACTTAATGGCATGTTTGGAACAGTGGAGTTGGACAGGTTATTAGCCTGTTAGCTTTAGTGTAATCAGCTACGTGAACATACGTTGTAGACTTACACAGGCCATTTTTTATATTTTTTTGTGTATCATAAATCAAAGTGGTAACAGCTTAAGTGATCTTAGACTTGGAAAATTTTAAAAATGAAATACTGTATCACAATGAGGAAAGTTGAGTAATTTTTTGTGGTTTTTTGCAGAAGATCTTCATGTAACTGACTGAAAAATGGTTCTGCAAGATGACAGCACCAAACCTAACACAGTTAAAATGGTAAATAAAAAAAAACAAACTCCCTGCTATTTGCTGAGAACTATAATGATATTAAGAAATGCCTTTTAAATGAATATTCCTTCAAATGTCAAATTTCAACTGGTATGTTTAAAGTTACACCATGTGAAGAGGGTATTTGTTTCCTAATAATGGAAACTAAAGGCAAGCATATGCTGAAGTTTCTACTGTGTTTAATAGAGTAGAATATTATATTTACTTTTAAACCATTGTTTCTACTTCAGCCTAGAGGTCTCCTTGTGGTTGAAACTTACAACTCTGAGCAATTGATGAGTTCAACGTTTTGTAAGGGTAAAGCCATGCTCTTAGAGAGAAGAGGCTTGTACAGTTCTTGGTTTAGGTGTCAGATGTTATATTAATATGCTGACTCTTATCCTTATACTGAAGTGAGTTAGTTGTTGGTAATAAGCATTGAACAGGGTTCTGTGTGATCAGGTCCAGTCTGGATTACAGCCTGCAGCAGATCTTGCATGCTGATGGAGGGTAGGATATATGTCTTGCATAATAACTGAATTTAGGTGAAAGTTCTGTACCTGGTTACTTGAGTATAGCTAATATAGATTAAGTAGGGGCCAGAAGTAAGCAACTGAATAGTATCTTTCTTTCAGGGATATTTGGGTCACTGTGCATGGAAGAAAGAATGGGAATTTTTAAGCATCCTTTTTGCTTTCTATTTATTTTTGTTATTGTTATATTCAGTTCTTTTTGGGTGCATAAATTAGGTATGCACAAACTGTTTGGGCTTTGTATGTATAATATGGATAAAAGTTTTCCAGTTTAGGTGTTGGTTATCTGAGATTGATAGTGTAAGAGGTGTGACGAGCAGCTACTGTTTGTATGTGAGGGCACTGAACTGAATAGGTGTTTAGGATTTACAGTGAGCTTAGGCTTTGCATTACAGAAGATGGATAACCACATGCCTGTGTCTTAAAACTGCTTCTTCAATTTCTCTTTTTTTTTTTTTTTTTTTTTTACCCCGCTACAGAAATTGCATTTGAAAAAACAGCAACTCCAGGTAAGGCCTTTAGCCAGAGTCTGTTTATAACCACTTTGAAGTCTAATTCATATTTTTTTGAATGCTTTTTCTATTTTTCTTTTTTTTTTTTTTTTTTTTTTAGCCAGCTACAGTAATTTGGTGAACTGTGTAGTAAAGGGCTTGAACTTGCTGGATGCTAAGCAGTGGGTAAATCATGATGAGCTTGGTGGAGGCTGAACCATGGGCTTGTGTGGTCCATCTTTATAGTCTACCTCGTAATCCAACTTGCAATAAGTGAAAAGCATCAGTTTAACTTTTGCCTCCTATTCACAGTTTTTAAACTTCTAGCCATGCTTGACAGGTAATCAAAGGCAAAATTTAGGATAAACATTTAGTTTTGCCCTTATTTCTACCCACTCATTTGTGACATGAATATCGGGTATGACTCCTGTTGATGTAGGATATTCCTAAAACAGAGCTTTGCAAGGTTTCACATGAATTAGAAAAGAAAGAAATTCCAGCACTTCTAGGCAATAAAACTTGCAGCTTTGTTATTCTTGCTTGTCAGTTCCAGTTCTGTTGTGCGTTCTTTTGAAACACCTTATACTTGCTAATTGCAAGTATATGCAAATAGTGGATTTGCAAATAGTTGCAGATTAGATGGGCTTCTGACTGGTCTAGTATAACATTTTTTCCAAAGTCCCTTATGCATAGTATTTCTTTTCCTATATAACAATTTTAAAGTGGGTTTTATTGAATGTCTTCATAGGATCTGAGTTTAAAATAAAAAAAAAAAAAAATTTATGTAAGTGTTTTAAAATTTTGGATACAGTAATAATACTGTATCAAATTAAGGAAAGAATTCCAAATGAAATAATGTGGAGGTGTTGTATCTTTCTAGATTATTTTATGGTCAACAAGTCTGTATGCTCTTCTGCTACTTGCTTAATTCTAACATGTAAATTCAAAAAAGTGTAGGCTTAAGAAATACAGCCTTACTATGCATAGCTTAAAAGCTTAGAATTGAACATTGTCAGCCTCTTCTTTCTCAAGTGAGCCTCTCATATTCAATTAATAAGGAAGGGATCATGTTTTTTGAAGTATCAGAAATAATAAATCATGGTGTTTGCTTGCAGTTTGGTGCTGTCCTGCTGGCATTTTTGATGTGGACAGATTCCTAAGGTTCTGTATCTGTATGTTCCAAACATTTAAGACCTAAACTGTGGCAGACACATGTTGAACTTGAGATTTTAGAAAATGTTTTGCAATGATAAGTGGTTAATAAACACATGCACACTAATTTTCAAACCTTGCTTTTTTTTTTTCCCCCTTTTAGGAGACTGTCTTCACTTTGACATGATGTGTGAAGTTTGTTAGCATTTTTTGTTTGTTTTTTTTTTTACAGTTACAGTGTGAAGGTATGTATGAGAAGTAAATCTTGTTCTTCCTATGTTCATTTTTGTCAGAGCATATTGCTGTCAATGGTCAGAAGCCAAATGTAAAGAAATATGCGGAACTTTATTTCATTACAAGTTCAGGCATACTAGCACCTTGTCAGTAAGTGGGATAATGTGTCTGTCTAAAACTTCTCAAAATAGTAGTTTCTATCTGTCTTTGTATTTTTTTGTGAAGTTTTACAGGTTTTAATTCTGCCCTAAAACTTAGTATCTAAGTTTCAATAGGATTCTGTTTTTCTGCTGAATGCTATAAGTATTTTAGTATTTCTGCTTTGTAACTTTTTTTGTCAACTGCTGCTTTGAAGTTGCATTTTGCTGCCTGATGAAGACTTTGTAGTCACCCTTCCTTGTTAAGCTTTTTTCCTTGTAATGGAAGAATCAAACAAAGTGCTATATTAGGCACACAGGAATGGTAAACAGGCACTTTCAAATGAGAAAGTAATAGCAACTATACGGAAACATAGAAAAAACTTCCAAGACATAAGGTTACGTGGTCTGGTGGGAGGTGTACCTGCCCATGGCAAGGGGTGGGAACTAGATGATCTTTAATGTCCCTTCCAACCCAAACCATTCTATGAAGTATGGGCTCTTTAATTAGAATTTTAAAATCTGCTCATAGGTAGAAAAGAAATGGTACAATGTGTACTTATACTCTGAATAACTTCATATGTAACCTCTTACCTAAGAAGTACTAGGTACTCTAGCATCCTTTACTTTCCTCCTGCTGAGGGATCTGAAAGCATGGGACTTGTACAAGCCTAATGTAGACAAGCTGAGTACAATGCGTGGTCTCTATGCACAGCGTATATGTGCTATATGCTTTGAAACAGCCTGTGGTGAGAACAGAAGACCTAGGGATGTGAGCACATGATGTGGAGATATCAAATTGGTCAGGCTACTGCAATTCCTTCCTGTCTCCAGTGACCTCTCCCCCTCCTTCCTACCATCAGCACGTAACTGGTGGCAGCCTGGAGTGGTTTCCATTTCTGGTGTATCTTACCACTGCTCATGTGTCATGCTGTAGCCTGACAAGGAACAAGATTTCTTCCTTCTCAGTCTTTGGAACTCTTTTACGCCCAGCTTCCATTTTTTGCTGTATGTTAAAAAACACTTGAGCAGTTTGTAGGCTAGATGTAATATAACTTAATGTAATGGCTTGTAGGCTATTAGTCATAATAAAATGAAGCCAAAGTTAGTAGAATATAATATGTAGTATCTCTATTAGACCAACTCATAAAAACTGAAAATACCCTTATAAGCTTTGAAGCATGAAACTCTTTCTGTTAGCTTATTCAGGTTTAAGATAATATCCCTATTTATTCTCTCTTTGAGAACAAATGTTTTCTGCTTTTTCCTTATCAGATAAAAACTGCCTTTCCTTGTGGAGTCTTTCATAACTTTGCCCTTCCCTGCTTACAGACTTCTGCTTTCTTTTGTCAATCCCACCATTTTATCAGAAGAGCAGAATAATTGCCCAGAGCTGATGCCCACACATAGAATATATCAGCATAGATCTAGTGGTATAATTATGCTTCAGGAACTCTGCCTGTTGATTTTTCTTTGGAAAGAAACCTTTTGAGAAATGGAGGAAAAAGTGGCAAGATTTGAACATCGCAGAGACTGTACTGGAAAGGAGAGGCATCAGTCAAAGGTGGAAATCTTTGTGTAGTGATCTCAAATGCACTTGTGCATATCTGGGCATGTAAGTCTGAGGAACAGGCTAGTCTGGAAAAAAGAAATTGTGTAGCTTGCTCACTGAAGGCACTGTGGCACTGTCTCATTCATAAATAACTCATAAATAATGAAAAGACAGTAAGGGTTTGTATGTTGACACATGCAGGGAAAAAAAATTTGTAATTTAAATTTACTGAACTGTATTAGCAAAGCAGATCACCTCTGTTTACTGGAAGACCCAGGGTTTGCTCCATAAAGGTGAACTAGATTTCAGCTCCTTGAGTTCTCTCAAACTTAAACACTCATGATCTTTATGATGAAAAATAGCAAGGTATGTTATGTTATCTGTAGGAAATTAAATAACCTGGTTCTTAAAGTATATACATAAATAATGTCAATTGTAGAACTTACTATATATGTATCTTACTGAGGTTTGTTAGAAAGTATGTAAAAGATTCTGATTTGAGTAGGCCGATGAATGAGACATCAGCCTCTATCACTTGTATTTGAAACTTTTTAATCATAAAATGGAAGGGTTTCCTAAATTTAATTCTTTTAATGGGCAGTCGTAAAGCTATATCACAAATTGGAATCAGCTTCTACTAGCATTAGTGGGGATAAGAATGCATGTAGGTCTGCTATGCTCATGATTAGCATTTCTTTGGAGTAGGTCCAGTGAATCTTCTAAGTTGTTTTTGAGTTAAAACACAAGCAACATTTTTAAAAGCTTGTTTGCTTTGCCGTTCTTATTTTCTGAAGAATGCTTTAGCGATCTCTTAAATTTTAGTGTTTTCAGTAATGTTAATAATTATTTTTAGTGCAAGTTGTGCAAAGTCAAGCCCTTCTAAAGTCACAATGTACCACTTTTTGGCCAACCCAAACAATATCAGTTCTGTTCTCTTGTGTTTACTTTGTGCGTTGAATAAAGCAGAAGTACTCTGCCTACTGAAAGAAAAGGAAGAAGGTTGGTTATGATCTATTTATACACTGTTGTAGTGCTCATTTGCATACATTTTAATGTTTTAACTGCAAATAATTGTCTTCCTAGTATGGATTTTTGCAGCCCAAGCTATATTTTCAGAATTTTCTGTTGAGCTGTAGCTAAAAGCATTTAAACCTGGCTGTTTTTTTCTGATAATTCACCAGAATTGTTTAAATTGAGACTTTTTTATTGCTACCTTGAACAAAGACTTATAGGAACTGCAAGGTGTGCATATGAAAAGGATAATAGGTTTGTGTATGTCAAAATCCAAACTTGTTTATGCTGTAATTTCTGGCAAGTCTGTGACTTTTTAAGGCACTTCTGTACCAGATGACAAGCTTAAACCTAGTTTACTGCTGTAGTTTTGATTTGTCACAGTATGAAGTGTTCTTAATTGATGATTCCTGTGTGTAATGTACTGGGACACAGTGAAAATCATTAACAATGTTTGTTTTTTTTAATAGGCAAAGCTTTATTTTGCATATATTATAAGCTTACTCTTAGTTTGATAGGTTTTCACTAGAGTTGGTGCATGCCTGTATTTCATGAATTACTAAATAGATATATAAATCTTTTAAGTTTGAATGCACGTGCAATCTAATTTTATAAGTTTACGATTAAATATTCTTTGGGTTTTATTTTTTTCTTGACTTGCTTTACAGTTTTGGGGGATCATAATTTACCCAAATACATTGCTATGTCTTCAGAAATGTTTGTTGAATGCTTAAATTGAAACATATTTCTGACTACCTTTAGTAGAATTGTATTTGACACACCACATTAAAATAATTTCTACTGTCAGCTGAGAATATCTGCATTTACTAAAACGTAGTGGTCTTAAATTTTGTAGAACTTGGAGGAGAAAGTCCAAAAAGGCATTATATATTTTACATACTTTTGCTTACTTCAGAGGTAAAACAGTTGATAAATTGTTTAGAGTCTAGATTTACTTTATAATTGCACCTACTGTCTCTGAAAATCTCATGACAGATCTGTGAAAGATCTGCTTTTTAATAAACATAAGTTTCTTGGCATATTGGGTCCATTTCATCTATATGAAACATTTGCCCCTGCTGTTTTTCTCTTTTTTTTTTTTTTTTTTTTTTTTTCCTTTTTGAGATCTGTAGGGTCAGTAAAAAGTCCAGGTTCCAGTGGGGAGCTGAGGGCAGTGCACCTCCTCTGCCACGTGAGGGGGCGAGATACTTTTCATGCTCCTGACTTTTTGGAAAAAAGTCCTTGAGAAAGCTTATAATTAGTCGTTGCTAATTTCCTGATTCCCTCAAAAAAGCCCAATACTCAACTCTTTTTTTTTTTTTTTTTTTTTTTTTTTTTTTTTTTTCCCTTTTGTGTGGTCACCATTTGTAATCTTTTGGGTTTTATTTCTTTATTGATCTTGAATAGGTTACAAATGGTGTGGGTTTTTATCATGAATCGAATGAGCTCCCAGAGCAGTTCATACACTCAGCGCAGGCGAATGGCTCTAGGAATTGTCATTCTTCTCCTCGTTGATGTGATATGGGTTGCCTCTTCAGAACTCACTTCTGTAAGTATTAGTCCATCAATCTTAAAATGAAAATAAATAGCTATTTGAGAGAAAGACGCAGCAGAAACACGATCACTCAAACACTCAATGAGTGGCCTAGTGTAATGTTTAACCACCTTTTTCAGTACAAGGAAGAGGATAATAAAACTTTTCCAGTGAGCTGGTGGAACCACTAGTGATACTGAAATGTTACTTAATCAAAGTAATCTTCTCTAATTTGTGATTACTATGCTATTGGTTACAAAAGTGGTCTTTCATTTAGAAAATATTTATGTGTAAATGTGTTTTCAGTCCTATTTAAGTTCAGTGGCATATCAGTATGTTGCTTGGTTACATACAAGTAATAAATAGCTTTTCTCCAGTGACATAGTATTTTAGAAAATGGCTCAGTACCTTCTTGCTGGCATTTAAGGTAGTTTGGGTGAGGGTGCCCCCGAATAAGTAAGTTCTCTTGAGTCTTTTGGTCTCAATGCCAATACTCGTAGCACTATCATTTTAAGAACCAGACTGTTTTGGACTATGTACTTAAAACTGATCATTAATTTTGTGAGTTCTCACCTTATTGGTAACTTTGGATACTGCAATTATTTTCTTTCCACAGTATGTTTTTACAAAGTACAACAAACCTTTTTTCAGTACATTTGCAAAAACATCCATGTTTGTTCTATACCTCTTGGGATTTATTGTTTGGAAACCATGGAGGCAACAGTGTACTCGTGGGTTTCGTGGAAGGCATGCAGCTTTTGTGAGTATTTTACCTTTATAAATGTTTCAATATATGTTGAAGTTTGTACAGAAAAAAAACTTAAAATAGGGACTAGAGAAAGGCAAAGTCTACCTATTTGTGAAACAGTGCTTTGAGAGAAGGGGTTATAAACTGAATCGTGATACAGGAAGAAATGGCAATCGTAATAGTAGTCTTGAGAGGAAGAAAAGAAAGGAAAAAGCAGTACAAAATGTCAGGAATCATCAGAAATGCTGTACTGGGCCAGACCATTGGCCCGCCTGGCCTGGTATTTTATCTTGGACAGTTGCAGAGAATAACTCTTTTTAAGGAAAGCTTATGAGAATCGCTGCTGTTGGCCGTTGGTTCCCTTTTACTTCCCTAGCGTCTGTAACCAATGGAATCAATACTTGAACTTCATAATTGATTTTTATTACTGACTCTTCTTGTTTCTGGCAGAACTATGAACTGTTTGCCAAGTGGTTTTGAGGCTTTTAAAGTCATATTTGGGAAAGGTGGTAGAATTATGGTTTTGTTGTTGTTAATACTGTATTTTGATAGCCTTTATGCATGAGTGGCATTCTGTTGCCCATTCTAGGTCTAGGCATAGCTTGTGCTAGAGTCTAAAAATTATTGTCATATTACAGAAACACATACTTTTTTTTCCCCAAGGCAATTAGAGATGCCTGGAAGAGTGCTTGTTCTGTGCCAGTGTTTCAGAATGCTGAACAGCAGGACTCAGGAAGCAGTAAGGCGTTTGGCCTGATATTAATCTCGCATTAAAATAACAGAAAATCTGATCCAAGAACATGCTGTTAATCATCATGTCTGTATAGAAAATAGCTTTGTATGAAAGAAACTGACTTCACTTCTTCTGGGTATATTAAGCTTGACTGATAGTTACAGTTGTAGGCGTAACATACTTAAATAACTGAAGTATTACATGACATTAAGCTAAATAATTTTTATTAAAAAAAAAAGAAAAAAACAAAAATCCCCACACCACAAACCCCCCAAAAATCAAAACCCAACCCCCTAACTCTTCTGTTCTTAAAGAAATTCTGTGTTAAACACGTAGAACACTTAGAGTTGGCTGATATCTTGAAATAATTTCTGGTAGATCAGCCTTTAACAGCAAAACGTCTGTGCATAGTAAGGCATGTGGTAGACTTGATGCTCTTCAGTATCTTCATAAGATAATCAGTAAATAAATAAAATTTACAGATGCTCTACTGGCAGTAATGACAAATAAGGATAATTGGTTGTACAGAGCAATTACAATTATCAAATTTATTAATCTGAGCAGGTGAGTAGAATAAGGGGCTATTGCCTAGTGTGAACTGTAGTGGTTATATGGACCAACTGACTCTCGGGCAGTGCTGTGTCAGAGGAGGAACTCATATGAACTGGACAGCAATGAGTAAGAGTGCTGAATCTGTCACATTTGTGTGTGTAACTCATGGCACTGCTGCTGGAATCTCATTATTTTTGCTTTCTAATACTGTAAAAAAGTAATTTTAAAAATTACATCCTGCTCAAGGTGAACCTGCTTTGGCAGGGGGATTGGACTTGATATCCGAAGGTCCCTTCCAACCCCTAGAATCCTGTGAAATAGCCATTACTTTTGATATTAGTATATTTTAAAAGAACAGTGCAGAGACAGGACTGTAGTATGCAGTTAGAAGATTTGTGACACCTCCTCCCTAGAGTGTAGTTAAATATTCAACTGTATAATTATTTTCAAGTTTTTTTTTAAATGTCTTGTATTTATTGATCTGGAACAAAAATTATAGATTCATAGAGTTTTATTTCAATAATGATTGCTTAGGTAAACACTCATACCTTATTTTTATGTCCTCTTCCATGTTAGAGGGTTTCTTAACAGATTTCTTACCAGCATGGTGTAACAGCAGGCTGCGGGTCAGGCAACAGGGGTGGTACTAGTGCTTGTTAAGATGCAGAAAGGAAGAGGAAAAATGATACTTGACCACATTCTAATTTAAGTCTTGTTAAAGCTAAGGTGAAGTTCCAGGGTTTGATGCAAAGGAACTCTGCCTCAATAAAATGAAGAAACAAGAGGCTGGTTGTTAATACATGCACAATAATTTAGTGAAGTGTGTCTTGCTAAGACTGAACTTTACGGGGTTTGGCACTCTTAACAGCCTGATTACCTGGGTAGTTAAATTCAGTTGGGTTCTCCAAAAGGTACAAGAAATTACTGAAATTATTTACTGAATTTGTAAGCCCTCTTATTTATTGTGGGGAGGGCTGGCGGGAGGGAGGGCATTGTGATAGAATTATGGAAAAAAGCATTAAAGAACAAATTCTCAACATTTTTCGGTTATTAATAGCTCTGCCTTGATAGATTATTACATTTAAGTTTCTGTAATTAGTTTGCAGACGCTGAAGGTTATTTTGCTGCTTGTACAACAGATAACACTGTAAACAGTTCTCTGGTAAGTGCTCTTTCATTTGTGAAGGTCAATGCTTTACAGTAACGTGACACCATTACCCTGACTTAGTGTTTTTAAACTATGGTGGTTTTAAGTGTAATAGTTTTTGGCAAAGGGGGTTGGTAACTTATATGTTGGTAATATATGCTGCAAATAATGATATTGCTTATGAGAAATACAGTTTCTCAGCTCAATATAATGCTTACTTGAATGTTTCTGTAGTAGTTTGTGAAAGAAATATTTATGACATACAGAGGAAACCTTTACATATTTAGCTCGGTAGCTGCCAAAGCAAAACGTGGAGAGCTAGTGATAAAGCCACACAGTTTTCAAGACTAAAATCCACAAGGGAGTGCTTCAGTCAGTTGACTGGCTTGTGTACCGTGATCCTGCATTGCATTTTGAAAGAGGAGTGGACAGTTTGCTTCCTTCCAGTGGACAGAGTGACTACTGTCTACTGACTCAAATGTCAGTACTGGTATTCTGCTGATAAGCTGCATTGCCAGATGGCATTTTTGTGGTGATTTTCATCATTCATAAATGATGGTTTGTTATGCCCTTGTTGATCACAGATTGCTGCTTAATCTGCATACTTAAATCAGAGGCTGCATTCAAAAATCTATCTGAAATGCAGAACCTCCAAAGTTTGCACCATCTCTGTAACAGGGGAGATGATTGAGTGTTGACAAACTATCACGTGGGTATTTCATACTGAATAGGGAGTTGGAGAGATTTTTCAGAAATATTTTTCATTTCATTCTCTGTTTTCTCCAACTTTATTTATCTGCATTTAAGAATAAAATCGTAGACTGCTCAATTTGTTAAGACCATCTCACTCTAGAAGCAGGATTCATTGTTAACCTTGGAAAATTTGGCATTAATTTAAACATCCACAAATTTCTATTCCTAAACAAGGAGCCTAATGAAAATGCAGCTATCAGATCTTTTTCATTACTTCACTCTTCCAGTTCATTAATTTAATTTAAACAACTTAAAAAACAGCTTAAAACTTTTCTTGTTAGAAGTATTGTAAGCAATTAAAACTTCTATATAAGTGCCTTATATATTTGAGTTCCTTTCCCAAAGTTTTTTGCCTTCTAGTTCATGAGCTTTTAGGGTCATGGAAGGAAAATGAGTATGTATTAATTTCTGTATATGTATTATCTATTTATGTTTTTAGTATATCATTTGGACAGAAGCTGTAGATCTAATGAAATCTGATTTTGATGAGTTTAATTTTATATCAGTAGGCTTGAATTTTCTGAGGATGAGTTTTATGTTCATGAGGATGTATGCAAAAGCACACAGTTATTTTTGAGTACTCAGTTTACCAATATGTTTAACGTTCATACATAGTATGTATTTTATACTTTCAACAAGCTGATCCACTGTGTGCAAAACCACTTTGTTAAATTTGATTCTCTTCATATTCACCGAGCTCTAGTTTTCTAATTCACTACATTAATTCTACTGCTTATAATTTAAATATGCTGCTTAACTGTATTTTTACTTATACTGATTCATTTCAGAGTGAACCTTTATATGTTCCTGTAAAGTTTCATGATTTGCCAACTGAAAAAAATGGCAGTAATAATAGTGATGCAGAGACAAGTGAGTAAAGACTTTTGGAATGCTGAAATGCTAGTTCTTTGGTGAATGAATTACTTTCCTCTTTGTTAGTATAACTGCTGTCATGTTGCAAGACTTGCCTCTTTTTTTTTTTTTTCCTTTTTTCCCCCCATGTTTTTTTTTTCTTTAAATCTCTTGTTGCATGAATTGCAGTCTCATATATTTACTTTCAGGTAGAGAAAACATAGGCCTATCGTTCAGTTTACCTTTCTTGGTCACTACAGATCCAGCCTATGTTTATCTCAAGGGACCAACTGGGTTCAGTACTTGTGATTCTTTCCTTCTGGGCTTGTATGACCAGCAGCAGTGAGTCAGCCTCTGGAAAAACAAGCTATTGTCCTTTTTAGAGCAGGAGCAAAGCAGTCAAAGTAAGAATTTTAACAGTCTATGTGCATTCTGATTTTATTTAAGCCTCACTATCTTGTGACAGTAGCTGAAATGGGCCTAACTGTCCCAGACAGTTATAGGAAAGTTGGCTGTCAAAGAATCCATTTACCTGACCCTCAGCAAAAGTGCCCCTGCTTATAAAAGGGAAAGTTTCTTTGTTAATGTCAAGATGACACGTGTGCAGAACAGCTTTGGGTAGGCTCTGCTGTCCTAGGATAATATGCACCAGTCACTTCAGGGTTATTTGAGCTGTAGTTTTTCCCTTAGCTTTTTATTTAGAGAATGAGGTATTATTTCGTGTTGAATTAGGCTAATGTTTATATGTAGCATGTAATGTTTTCTTTACACAGAAAACTAATGATACTTAAAATACCCTTATAAATAAAATCTCATCCTGGTTTGCAAGATTAGTTAGAGGGTGGATTTCAAATGAGCAAGTGCCCTTGTGATCTCTGCTAAGCTTTGAGGTCTGTTGGACACTCATCCTCTGAATGAAATGCTGTCCTTGTAGTTAGCTATAGTTGTGTGCAGTTTTTGGCAGTTTGACAATTAAACAGTTAAAGAAAACCATATATGTAATATTTATCCATACAGAGTAATTCTTCCCTAAAAATTTGTTGTTACCTTGGGGGGGACCTTTTTGACATGGAGGAGGGATGGTGCCTTTCAGTGAGGTTTTTGTGGATGGACAACTGTACTGATTGAAAACAATAATTGTGCTTTGTCTTATTAGTGACCTACCAAATAGCAAAATACTAGTTTAATAAAAACAAATAATGGCATGTCTTCTGTTTGGATAAAAACATGTTATTATTTGTGAAGTATTGTAGTCAATGCTGTACTAGTTTTATTTGCATATTGTGTTGGCTTGAAAAGTTTAATGATAATATGCAGCCTTCTTTCTCTCTCTTTTTTTTTTTTTTCCTTAAGCTCCCAAAAAGCCACGTGTAAGGTTCAGTAATATTATGGAGATTCGACAACTCCCATCGAGCCATGCATTGGAAGCCAAGTTGTCTCGTATGTCATATCCAACAGTTAAGGAGCAGGAATCAATATTAAAAACTGTAGGAAAACTCACTGCGACTCAAGTAGCAAAAATTAGCTTTTTCTTTTGCTTTGTGGTATGTGCTCCATTTTTTTTTTCAGAAAACTTAACTATAGATACAATTAAAACTTGTATAATAATAGTGAAGCAGTATTGAGATGATTTTTATTCTTAATGCCTCATTTTATAAACACACTATAAGAAGTAAAACTTTCCTCATGTTGGACGTGAAGGTGCAACTTCTTAAAGGGAGGGGAATAAAAAGAGATCCTAGTTAAAGTCAGTTGTAAGATATGCCGTGCTTTTTTGCCACGTTCCCTTGGTTCTTGGGGGAGGGAGAGATAATGGTGGCCTGATTTTTGAGAGAGAGTAAAAAATGCAGAGAGCAGATCAGTGTTTGCTTTCCTACAAGTAGCTTCGCTGATACTGCTGAATAAGTTGTATGTAGTGTGGACCCACCACACCTTTTCCTCAGGAAGCTCTGTTCTTGAAACATACTAAATCATGATAACAATTAAAAAAATTATTAGTACTATTGATGCATAGACCAGAAAATGGTGATGTAATTTTCTGTATGTATACATAAAGAATGTGCATACAGCAGCAAGAGAATAATAAGCCACTTATCAATTATTTTGGATGGATGAAATAGCTTTTTAACAAAATATTTAAAATTCTGTGTATCTGAGTATATACTCCATACATATACACATGCAGATTTTCTAGAGAAGAATCCTTATGTTCAAAACAAATTCTGTTTATGCTATTTAAGGATGCTGCTACTCCTGGCATGCATGTGTGTTTCTTCTTGGACAGTATAAGTATTTCCACCTAAGACTTTAGAGGATGGTAACATCCCTGAGGGTATATTTGAGATCATATTAATGAGTTTTTAATCAAGAAGTGATAAAACACTTTTTTTTATACTTATGAAGGAATTCAGACATGACTCCTAAAATATTTTTAAGGTGTTGAATGTAAGTGATGCTTGTTTTTGAGGGTGGAGCTGTATGCCTGTTTTTAGTCAGCCTAATAATTTTTTTAAAGTACTTAACGTCCCATGAATCTCTAAAATTCTTTGCCGCCCTTGTTCAGTAATCATCTTGAAGCACTTGCAAAGCAAGTTAAAAGTACCTTCAGTTACTATAGAATAGCTATTGCAGTTTCATTTCAGTTATTTAATTATGTTTAAGTTCTGCATTATGTTATTTCATTATTAAACACGTAGTCAAATGTGGTTGGTTTGGGCCAGTTCTAATTTTGCCTCTGTTCTTCAATGCAGCTGACATTCCAGTATAAGTTAGAAATCTATTTGGGGTAGAAGTCTTGTTCTGATTTTGTTTTTGTAAAAATAGTTGTGGGTTTTTTTTTTTCCTTTGAGTAGGATTTTATTGCACTGACCAATTGAAACTCTGCTGTTGCTATCGGTATAATCACAAAATTATTTTTCTTTTCCCTCAGTGGTTCTTGGCAAATTTCTCTTATCAAGAAGCTCTGTCGGATACACAAGTTGCCATAGTTAATATCTTGTCTTCAACCTCTGGTAAGTTTTATTTACACAATCAGATGTGTATTATAAGGCTCTTTATAACATAAAAAAAAAATCTTTACAATGGACTTGTGTAATGATTTACCTGTGGTTTGGGGGGAATGGTAGGACTTAAGGGCATTGATTATGTGTATTTAATAATTTTGTTATGTAATTGCAGGGATTTGAGCTGTCTTTGTGATTCCCTGCTTTTTGATTTTCAAGTGTATGCATGTGTGTGTACTTCTGTGGTTATGTCTTTGTTATGTAATTGCAGGGATTTGAGCTGTTTTTGTGATTCCCTGCTTTTTGATTTTCGAGTTTATGCATGTGTGTGTACTTATGTGGTTATGTCTGTGTATTGGAGAGAGATATTGGGAGTGTAATAGGTTTGAAGGAAAGGTGCTATAACTTTTAATGAAAATAGATGCAATTTAGGTAAAGTCTTCTTGCTAATTATTGGGTTTTATAAAAATGGTTTTGGGGTAAAGAACTTAAACTGTCTAAACATTATGCATATCACTTGCTTTACAAGTTTTAAGAAAGGCTCTAATATGAGCTTTAAAGTATTTAAGTCATGTGACAGTCCATGTTTTGAGGAGTAACTTTTGTTCTTGTATAAAAACAGTTTTAAAAGCACATGTATGTGACCTTTTTCACTGACTTTTCAGGCTTATTACCGTTTATTTTGTTAGCATGCCTAACCTTCCTCGTAGTGCAGCATGTATTTGCTCATCTGAGGATTCACATCATCAGCTGTTAGTTTCATAATAGTTCCAATTAAAATTATGGATGCTAAAAATCAAGTAGTTAAAATAAGTGTGTGAAATATAAAGAAGAAAATATCTGTGGTTCTGAACAAACTACTAGCAAAACTTGATTGTATAAACTCTTTAATTTCTCTTGCAGGACTTTTTACTTTAATCTTAGCTGCAGTCTTTCCCAGTAACAGTGGAGATAGGTTCACCCTGTCCAAATTATTAGCTGTTATTTTAAGGTAAGATGATGGGATGGAAGATTTGATCAAAAACTCCCTGATACAGTGAGAGAATAATTATACCTACTGTATCTGTGGCAATATATGATACGCTTCACTTTAAAATCCATGTTTCTTTTTAAATACTTCATGATATGAATAGTTATCAAGTTTCATGCTCCTGCAGGCAATTGGATTAATCAGGTTTCTGTTGGAAATATGTAAACTTATTTTTTTTTTTGTTTAATAGGTTTCTGTTGGAAATATGTAAACTTATTTTCTTGTTGTTTAATCATTATTTCTCTATTTTTGTGTAAATGTGAAAAAGGAAGAGGCTTGACATTTAGTGCTGTCAGCCTGTTTCCTTAAATGCCTGGGGGGTTTCAGGGAAGTCAAAAGTGGAGGTGGTTTGTTTTGTTTTTAGCTTAGGATCAGGTCTTAGCAATAGAGAACTCCATTTGGCTTTGCCAAAAGTTGGGTTTGGTAAACTAAAAATACCTAAAGATGGAACTCTATTTTGATATTTTTCTCCTTTTTTTTTTTTCTGTCTTTGTAAAAGAAGTTCTTGTTTTTACATAGCATTTTGCATTTCTTCTTTGTTGATAGCATTGGTGGTGTGGTACTTGTTAACCTTTCTGGATCTGAGAAATCTGCTGGAAAAGATACAATAGGTATTTACTTCTTTTTATTTTCTTTTAATCCTAGGATATACAGAGATGGGTACCATCTTTTGACAATACTTGGCAGGTCATATAGCAAGCTATATATCTCTTATATTGTCCATAAACTGGATGTTTATGATGATTTTTTTTCTATATATATACCTTAATTAGGAAAGTATTTATGTTTTCGAGCTTCCTGCATTTTTCTATACTTTCCATACAGTAGTGGATTCTGTAATATTTTTTTTTATCTCTGACAGTTTTATAATAGGTGTGTGTTTAGGAGAGTTGATCCTATTGTGCATAACAAGTTGGGCATGTCTTAAGTGTCTTTTTTTCATCTTTACAGGTTCCATTTGGTCTCTAGTAGGAGCCATGCTGTACGCTGTGTACATAGTAATGATCAAAAGGAAAGTAGATAGAGAAGATAAACTTGACATACCAATGTTCTTTGGTAAGAATAAAAATAACTCTATTGAAAGTTTTAATTCACTGTGTGATTAAATTGTTTGCTTTCAGGCACTGAACTGTGTATGAGCGGTGAAGGGGCTCAGAAGAGCCAAGGAAGTGGAGAAAGCCTGTTGTTCCTGTGGTTATGAGTACTTTAGAGACTGGTTATGGGAATTGTTTCTTGTTTACACTCTTAACAATGAAATATGGCACTACCTGTAGGAATGCAGACAGCTCCTGTGGACTTGATGGAAATTTATTTATTTTAATTTCAAACCTCTAAATATCTGATGTAATTGTTGATTGTGAATGTTAGGTAAAGTTTTTTACATTCCTTTCATTTGAAAAATTTAAATTATTGCTTTCTTGTTGCTTTTATGTATGTGTGTTATCAAAATAGCGGTTTAGTGAGATTTAGTGATGTCGAAGGATATTTACTGTGATTTTCTTACTCCTGTTGTTATACTCAGGTTTTGTAGGGCTGTTTAACCTGTTGCTGCTGTGGCCGGGGTTTTTCCTGCTTCACTATACTGGGTTTGAAGCGTTTGAGTTTCCCAATAAACTGATATGGATGTGCATTGTCATTAATGGCCTTATCGGAACAGTTCTGTCAGAGTTCCTCTGGCTGTGGTACGTACTACCTGCTTTGTATCTATTTCACATAAATAGTCTTACCTGTGTTCTTAAATGTTGAGATGTCAAATTGCCTAAGTAGCTTTGTTGCCTTTTTTTATTGTCTTTTTTCTGTCAATATATGCGATTTGAGTTAGAGGATGTCATCTGTCATGTCACAGTGTCCTGTTTAAAAGCAATTAGCCTAGCTTTTGTGTAATTTAACTATATGATTGTCTGGATAGGTTGGCAATAGAGGATTGAACATGAGACTTCAAGGTGAAGAGCTTAAAAGCTGTGGGAGATTAAGCTCTTATGACAGTGGTGTTAGTGAATTGTTTGGCCAGCTTGAAAGAATTGAGTTTCTTCTGGGCCAGTGTTACGTTAAAATCAGGGCGTAAGGGAATGTGAGATTTAAAAAGTAGAGTCTGTTAATTTAAGAATTTATCTATTTGTTAAAAAAAAAACCACTTCTCCTTTTGGGAAGATTTCTAGACGTCAATGACCATTCTTTTTTTAATTAACCAGACTGAGGCAAACCAGATTTAATTGCTATAAACTGGTATTAAAATGGAAACAAAATGCAGATTTTTCAGGGTAATCACTACATGGGAAGTAGTGAATCTTCCATCATCTCAAAAGGTTTGAATTGGAATCAAACCTTACTCAAGAAGACGTCAACAGTCTAGTTAAGAATTTTATGGGGTTTTACAGATTTGTCATGTGAGTGTGGGTATCTCAGTTTTTAATTATTTAAACAAACAGCGACAAGCAGTTAAGCTTGATTAAATATCTTCTGCAGTTTGATGTATTACTTCAGTTGTCTCTTAACTTTTAAATTAGACCTCTTTGTCTTTATTAATTACTGTAATTTTTTTATTATCTTTTAGGGGATGCTTTCTTACCTCATCACTGATAGGCACACTCGCGCTAAGCCTTACAATACCTCTGTCCATAATAGCTGACATGTGCATGCAAAAGGTAATGTACTACAAAGTCTTGAGCATTATTAACAGAATTTCTTTGAATTAAATGGCAGTGTTAACAATGTATATAAGGAACAGTATTTTACTCTGTCACTTGTCAATAATTGTTAACCTGCATAGTAATTAATACTCTCTTGATATTGACAGTTACAGTAATTTTGCATTTGCAACCATGCACTTGCAGGCTTAAATATATTTGAAGATGCAGCTTGTCTGGAAAGCACCCAAAGTCATCAACAGTGCCTGGTCAAATGCTTTACCTTGAACAGGCACTTAGAATTAAAGAACAACTGCAAGTACAGCACACCTTAAATTGATACCTTAACAATTATAGAACTGTTGTAGACTACCTATCGTGAAAATACTCGAATAGTGACCAAACCAAAAATCTGCAGGTTTACCACAATGGAATGTAGCAAGGGATGTACAAGGCTTAATTGAACATTATTAGATTCATGTGGACATTAGGCTTCCTTCACCTGTCCTCCTTCCAGCTAGTCTGATTTCACTGCTATGAGGTCATAGTTGTGGTGGAAAACCTCTGCATGTAAAGAACGAAAAGAAGCTGATAATAAGAGTTTAGAATAGAAATCACATGCAGTTAGTTTATTTACACTTCAGGCTGTATAGTTACTTTTCTGTTCATGCTGATGGGGTAGAATTCTCAGACTTAATTATTTAATTATGTATGAACTTCAACTCTAACTTTGGCGATTTGAATTTAATATTTAATCAGTGGCAAGGAATATCAAATTCTTAATTTCAAGGATTGATTATTTAGCATATACTGCAGGCATGCAATTATTGGGGTTTTGCTGTTTTTTTTTTTTATTTAAATCGAGGTCACATTAACTCCTCCTGTTTCCTGAAGGCAGGATCACTTTTTTCTGCTATTTGGGATTTAAATAATCCCTACTGCTGAAACCTTCATTTGAAAGTTAAACCACCTGTTTAACTCTTTGAAATAGCTTTCAACCTGATTTTATAATGCATCTGTTGTTAAAGCAAGCTTAATTTTTCTTGCAGTGATAATAGCTGCCTTTTTTGGCTGGGCATCCCCTCCTTGTCTATTATGGCTATGCCTTTTGACACCTCTCAGTGTAGACACAGGTGTATTTGTCACTTGGTTAAAGTGTAAGCATTTCCCATCACATGCTTGTGTACATCTTGACTGTTGGTGACACCTGTATTTCATTGATGTTAAATGTTTGTATAGTCATGTTGTATGGAGAGGCTGCAGGAATTTTTTTAGAAAGCAGGGAGTAAAATCATGTGCCAGGTAAAAAAAAATTCTGCCTATGCCTGGAACATAGCTTAAATTGAGCATTCTCTGAGTAGTGACTTCCTGAAGCAAGTGGGGTCTGTGCATTATCTGTGGTGGTTCAATTTATGACTTGTTTTCAGTCATTATGTTTGAGTTTTGAGGCTTGTACTTGTTTGTACAAGACTGACTTTATGTAGAAGAAATTAGTCAGGTCTTGCACTTAGAACGTGTCTGGTCAAAAAGAAGCTTTACTGTTCAATGCTTTTATAAGCAAAATATAAATTCTAATGAGAACCTTTTGAGTTTTGAAATTTTCTGTTAGGGATGTGAAAATGGGGGGAAAAACAACCCATGCAACTTGTATTTCACTTCTAGTTAATGTCAGTGTGTATTTTGGAAAATAAAGCGGAAAAATAAGAGGATAAAATAAAAAAAGGAAAGTCAAATTGGGAAATAAAAGAGTTGAACCCTGAATGAATACTTCTGTAACAAATGTGAGATACAGTATGTTTCATATTAACATCAGCTGAATATTCAAATGTGGAAACACAGCAAAACCTTGCAGTGATTCCAACAATAATAGAGCATTCATTGGTAAGATAACTGCATTTGTGTTGCTCTTAAAGTATCTGCAATATACACTTGAGACATAAATTGTGCAAGAAAGTAAATAACTAATGATAGCTATTAAGGAAACAAGGAAACAAAGTCTGTAGACTTCTCCCCAAAGAATTCACTGTAGTGAGGTGGAATTAGGTTTATATGTGAGCTGATGCTGGTAGCAAAAAACCAAAATGTTATAACTATATATGTGTGCATTTATACATATTTTTATGTATACCTCTGTACGTGCAAATACATCTTTAGAGATGTGTGTGTATACATATATATAGTTTCATATATCAGTATATGAAAAGCTTAGGTTGTCTTATGAAGTGATTCATCTAAACTTGCTCCTGGAATACACTGAAAAATGGAATATGCTTTTCTAATTCTCAGTAAACAGCTTCATCTCTAGGCTATTTAATCTGAGTAAACACAGAGTCTGGATCTTTTAAAATTAGTGTATTCTTCATGTCTTTATGCGATATTGGGGCATTTGAAATAGCAGAAACATCTTTTAAGGCTCTGTTGGATGACTTTCAGTTGATGTTGGTAACACAAGGGCAAGTTACACTTTTAACTCATTTGTATAGTTTATCACTGCTAGAGTTGCTCCAATGTATTTGGTATTTATAAACAAATAGACAATAAAGCCCCCAAATGTAGGGAACTATCCATCTTAACTTTTTGTACACCTTGTTATTTGCTCTTTTCCTGTTTCTTGTCTTAATCTTCACCTTCCGGTGTTATCTCAGTTTGTGCTGGCAACACTTTTAATCTTTGTGCCTCTTCCATTTCAACCACAGTTCCTTTCATTTGCCACCACTTGGTTCCTTCTAGAGTTTGTGGTCCGTGTGCTTGCTCCCTTCTATTCCTTTAGCTTTTAGCCTATTTGAAAAGGCTGCTTTATCTTCCTCAGGACAAATACAGAGCCTGACTGGTTTTAGGCAGCTGGGTATCAGCTGATGCCTCTTATGTCTTGCCGTATGTGGGAGAGTAATCAGGGAGGGGTTGGAGGTTTATTCTCTTACTACTTGTTCTTTTTCCAATTAGTATATGCATTCTATATTACTGTTCTTCCTTCTTCCTCTGGCCTCTATGTACTTGCTGTCCAAATTACTACTTTCCTGCCTGGTGCTTTTTAGCTTGTGGCTGCTGCTTGTGTGTTTGCAGATATGTAAACACTTACCACCTTCTGATACTGAACTTCTCAGCATGAGATCATTGGGGGCCATTTAGACTGGTCTTTGACAACAGAGCAAATTTCCTACTGTATCTTCTCTTGCTGCTGGCGGCAAATCCTTTTGTCTCTTTTTTTTTTAAAAAAAAAGAATTGCTAGTATTAAAAGCACAAATGAGCGACCCTAATTAAAGGCAAACTCTTGTAGACTTTGAGGTTGTTTGTACAAGTGTATTTGTGCTAGTACACCTCTGTCATACCAACATCAAAATATCCTAAACCAAGTCCTGTGCTCTCTGAAGTCTCAGGAATCCAAGTCAGGCTGACAGAAATTTACACTTCCAACTTCAAGCTTTCCAATTAGTGTTTCTGACCAGCTCTGTCCTTACACCACGTTTCAGTTTTCTTACAAGGAGCCAAGATAATAATGCCACTGGCATGGCTAATAATGTAAAGATTAAACTATGAATATATGCAGTCTTCGTATGACTGTCAAATGGTATAGTAATTATACAATATGCATAATTACTAACTTTCTGGCTATTTAATGTTCTGTAATAATCTGACAAATCTGAATCTCAAGAAATTACAACCAAATTTTTAACAGCTACTTAAATATTCATTTTGGTAATGCATGTGTCTGAATTTTTGTTAGACATCAGTAAGGATAACATAAGGCTCTAACAATTGCCGTTTATTAGATTTTTGAAAGTAAACATCATTGCTAGGTCTCAAAACTGTACACTTTTTTTCTCTAAAGTCTTCAACTTTGGAAATTTTCTCCACGAGAGGGAGCCTTGCTCATGGTTCATTGCTCTGTTAGCCTTAAAGGCATTGCAGGGACTAGTTCTTGTTCTTGCACTCTTGACTTCTCTAACCTTCTATAACTTTGGGTTTTAGACAGTCTCAGATGATCACTGCAGAGCGTAGTAGTAGATGGATACAAGTAGAATTTAGTTTAAATTGGGCAAATAATATGTCCTGCTTTTTTTTCTAAATGAAAAAGAGAATTATTGTAAATTTCCTGCAGCATAAAATGAAAAAGAGAATTATTGTAAATTTCCCACAGCATAGTCTTTTGATGCGCACTGATTTCACCAGTTACCATTCAGTGACAGTATATTCATAGTGAATAAAAAGGTGCAAAATTTCTTTCAGGTGAGTTCTCTAATTCAAAGCTTTTGAAGTATCCAGGGAACTCTGACTGGTACCGATCAGACAGCTAAAACTTAAAAATGAGGCTATTTGGAAATAGCAGTCTTCATCCACACCACACCTCAAATAGTATGGTCCATTGTAAAGAACGGATCAGGGAAGAAAGATTATTTATTTATTATAAGTAGCCATTTGGAAATAGCAGTCTTCATCCACACCACAGCTCAAATAATATGTTCCATTGTAAAGAAAGGATCAGGGAAGAAAGATTATTTATTATAAGTAGCCTTGTCTATAGGAATTGTACCAAATAACTTACAAAAATATTTGTGGTATTTCACCCAGTTTAAAAGAACTGAAACTGAACTCAAACTTACAATAGTAATTATGCCAAATATACAGTGTGCCAAATTGTTTTTACTATTGAGTGAATCATGTTTGTGTTTTAATTCCAGGTGCAGTTTTCCTGGTTATTTTTTGCAGGAGCAGTACCTGTATTTTTTTCTTTTTTCATTGCAACTCTCTTATGTCACTATAACAACTGGGATCCAGTGATGGTGGGAATCAGAAGAATTTTTGCCTTTATTTGTAGAAAACATCGAATTCAGAGGTAGGGCAGTCACAAAGTATGATCCTATCTCTCCTTTAGTCTTTCCAATATCTCATACTCTTTTATAAGCCATGATACTTGTACTGTATGTATATTCATCTAATTTTATATTCAGGTGTACTAATTTCTTAGTAGTAGTAGTTGCCAATCCATTTATTAACCTGTGTAATTCTCAAAAAACGGAAAGATACGAAGTCTGTTTACCTTTTAAAAGAAATTTTCTACTGGGTGTCAGAGTTTTCTTTTTTTTGGTCCCCTTAATACCTCTGTGATGGTTTCTGTACTCACAACATGCAATGAAAATTGTGCAAACTTGAATGTATTTTATGAAGTTACGGGGTCTTTGTATGTTTTTAATGGCTGCAGTTCAAACAAGTAGCATACTTAGGACTTAAGGTGGCTTCATAACAACCAATTTAATATTACTGTGTAATGTTACATAAATGAATTTTGTTTCTTTTAAGAATGCCAGAAGAAAGTGAGCAGTGTGAAAGTCTCATTCCTATGCATAGTGTTTCACAAGATGGAGAGAGTTGCTGTTCATAGACAAAAGGTATGCTGTGTAACCTTCAGACAGTACGGAGAGAGGTGAGGACTGGCTTTCGTGGTATTTGTTATATAAGTACATGTTTTTACAGAGGAAACAGCTAATCTTGTTCTGTACTGATGGATAACAACTGTGAAGAGAGCCTTCAAAACTCTTATTATTTGTTACCAAGCATTATTCTCATTTCGGTACAGTTCTTGGTCAATGGTTTTGAAATGTAAAATAGTTTTCTACTTAAGAATACTACAATGTTCATTTAAAAAAATTTAAATATATACATGAGTCAAAGCATACAACTTCTCGGTATGGATGATGTGTGTGGAAGAGATATGAAGTAATTATTTTACTCTTTTTAAGTCTGTTGAGGTCTCAATTTGGGCTACTGCAGTTCATGAAAAACATCGACTGTTTAAGGCAGTTTAGAGGACAGGACCAGACTTTATCACTATGGGTTTAGAAAATGAAAAGCACTCCTTGTGTTTGTGCTTGACAAGAATTAAGTGGCTAAATTGCATTAAATATTAGGGAAAATATTTCTGATGATAAGAATGGGGCAACTAGAGTAGAATAGCTCAGGAGTTTGCAAAACATCCCATCTCAAACAGGAGGTTATGCAAACCTCGAACAGGAACAGGGCTTTAGTTTTCAAATAACGTGTGCAGAATTACATAAATATATATTTTTATTTTCTAATGTTGCTTAAATCTAATAATGGAATTAAAAATATTTGCACTGAAACAGTAATTGTGATGTCTTAAGCTTAAAGTATGCAATTTATTTCCGTTATTAATAAAAATGGAACCAAATAAATTTGGTGATTGCTTTTTTTGGTAATCTTTAATTATGTAGCCCTGATAACTTTTTTTTTTGTTTGTTTGTTTTTTCTTAGTTTAAACATGGAATGATGCCCAGCAAAGAGACAATCTTCTGGAAAAGTCCTAAGGAATCATGCTTCAGTGCCTATTCTGAATTTGTAGTAAAACCAAGAAGTTTCAGTTCTTTTGAAACTCTAAACTTTTCCTCTCTCTTGCTTTCATCTGGTTTTATAAATGAACAAATTTACTACATGCCTGTCACCATAGGGAGTCTTAGTCCATCTGAGCAACCAACCTGCCTTATAACACTGAGCTGGTGAAGTTACTTGACAAAATCAAGAACACAAATGCTGTTAAATGATTCCTTTCTTTTTTTAACTCACAATTTTGTTAAATGCTGGACAATATTATTTTTAAAAAATACTTTCAAGTGAGTTATGTAAATAAGTTCGCAGGTCATCAAGGCTTTCAGATGAAAAGCTAAATAGATATGTTACCTGGAGTAGGTACAAATTAACTTTTTTATGTTGTATAAACTATTTGCATATTAATAGAAGAAAATAGAAAAATAATTTATTAAGTGCATTCTTGTAATTATTGAGGCAGGATCTTTGTACGGTCCTGGAACACTACATATATATTGTCTTATGCCATTTTGAGAAGCCTTGTAATGGCAACGGGTGCCGATGTTTAAAAATCTTTCGTTACCTAACGATCTGGAGTGTTTAAATTTTAGTGAATGGTAAAATATCTCTAATTACAGTACCTTTGGGTGTCCATTCTCAAAATCACTGTTTTAAACAGACTGATTCTGTAACCCATTCTTACTCCCATTTATTTGACATGAAAACTAAATCTGAAAATTTTCACGTTAGAGCTGCCAAGTAATGAAGGGGATCAAATTAATTGTGGAAGTTTTCAGTCAATGGGTTGGCACTAAAGTAATCTCCTAAACAATCTGAAAGATGAAGGTGTTTGCATTGATTTATTTTTTTTTAGTTACATTAATAAATTTGTTATAAAAGTGATCATTTTCCTTAACTTGTATCTTCCTTCCACTGCAGCGCTTCTGTCCTATTTGATTCTGAAAAGTTATGAATAATTATATTCAGGAATTTGAAACTAGTCAGTGCCATTTTCCAACTTCTAACAAATACAACACTTCAATTAAAGTTAATTTTGGCTTTTGATGGATTTTTTTATTTTTATAGTGAATGTAGGATGGATTTTCAGCCAACAGTATTCTTTTCCATGTAACAAGATTATTAGCAGCATAATTCCACCATCCTTCCACATAAATACAGAAGGATGATAAAACATAAATGCATTTTCATGTTTTGATACTTGGTAATGATCCTTCTGAAAGAAATGTTGGTGTTTTGGTGATACAACTACTAGATGAGAGGGAATGCAGGAAAGCAATACGCATAGCTATACATATAGAAGGATTGATTAGCCAGCAGCTACACTTTACTGTAAAAATCTGGAAGTGGGGGGAACACACACAAACCTGGGGGCTATTCTCATCAAACATTGCATCTTTATCAAATTTTTCCTTCCACTTTTTAATATTGGGTTACACTACAAGTCTCAGTGGAACCTCTTTAAGATGAGATGGTAAGTGCTTCTTTGGATGCATGAAATAGGAATGAACAAAACCAAGCAACGAAACCACAAACCCAAAACAAAGAAGCTTATTAAATTTATGGAGGCATTTTGAGGAACCTTACATTTCAATTCCCAAACCCCGTAAGTAGAGGGGTTGAAAATGCAGCATGTAGAACTAATTTTACATTTCACTTTAGTACAATTTTCAGGGATTTTTTGGTAAGTGGAATTTCCTTGGGTTTTTGTTTTTTTTTAAGGAATATTTTTTTTCTTCTAAATTAGGACAAATTAGAGGATATCAGCTTCTTTCCAAGAAATAATGTTATGGTCTGGTGGCAATAAAAAGCTGATGTCTGTTTTCAGCTAATGATTGAATGAGATCATACCGAATATGTAATACCAGACATTAACCACAAATTTAAATCAGTTGGGACTTGTGGCATCAGCAAACTAAGCTTGGGAAAACTGAGTTTGCCTTCAGATGGGCAATTACAGTATTTTTCGTAAAATATTCTAATACTGCCTTTTCAAATTGGCCATACTGATAGAATTGGAGTTGTAATGTATAATGGGCAATCACTATTCATATTTGTCCTTATGGTCATAGCTGAAAGTGAAAGATTAGCATAGTCTCCCAGGAGAATATTCTTCTGTCTCTCACCTCAGGAATGTTGAAGAATGTTTTTGTTCATAAACCTCGAAGTTAAGGCCTTTCTACTGTTTTTCTTTTTAAAAAAAATTAACACTTTTTAAAATAAAGATATTTAATATTTTAATCTCACGGCACTAGGTAGCTTGAGCAGTCTTTTGCATTAAATTACAGTTCTTGAATGAATAAGAAACAAAGCAAACTGTCCTTCCTGAAAGGATTTTTAAACAGTGGTGCCCCTGTAGTTACAAGAAATGTGTTACAATTTTAATTACGGAAGCTATGACATGTAACATTGTTCCTGCATTTAATAGAATGATGAGGTTTTTTTCTAGAAAATCTTGTGATTTTTAGTACAATAATATTTTATAAATATAATGTCTAATTTGAAATGTAAATTGCGTAGCTCTCTAATGGGTGCTTGGTAAATGCACAAGAGATTTAGCTTTGATTCTCAGGTACCTCTGATGTAATGGAGACATGCTGGGTTTTTCTTCCTCGTGACACAACTGGAATGTGAAGGAGCTCTCTCCTAAATGCTTTAGCTCTGTGTGCTAGCATAAATTGTCATTGCTCTTACTGTTTCAATTTGGGAATGTCTTTATTCTGACTGATTTCTTGTAGGAAGCACATACACTTAAAAAAAAAAAAAAAAGACTTTTTCTCAAGCATTTCTTTGAATGTCATTAGACACTTAAGGAGCAGTGATTTCCCATGCCTACAAAATGGAAAATGAATACTACATGTGTCGCTCTGTCAAACAGTTGAACTAATTCCTGTAATCCTGTGAGACAACCAATAATTTCTTCTGTGTTTGAGGTTTTGAAGCTCTCTAGGTTTTATACATGGAGGGGATGATGATAATTTGCCAAATGCCATGTAGCACGCCTTTGCTTTTAAGGTTTTGGTGTGCTCTTTCGGTTTTGGTGAGTCTTGCGTAATCTGATGTACTGTGTGCTGCGCTCCGGAGTAAAGGGAGGAAAAAGGATTTCCATTTTTCTGGCTACTTTCTGTTAGGTTTCAGTTGTGCTGAAAATGTGTTCGCTATGAGGGGCTGCTGCAAGTGTAAAAGTAGTTCAGCAAAGGCCTAAAGTACATGTAATACCAATACTCAACAACCCCTTGGAAAGCGTGGGGCACGCGAATGCCACTGAAGACACTGCAGGCTCCATGTTTCTGCTGCTCAGTGGGTGCTGCTTCTTGCTTGTTGGCTTTTTGCCTGTGGAAATCCATCTAGGGGGAGCAGGGGCTGCAGTAGGTGGCTGAGGTGTCTTGTTGGGAGGTTGGGCTGGAGAGGACTGCACGCCAAGACTGGGAAACAGGGAGGCTAAGTCTCTGCCTGCTTATTTCACTGCGGTGTTGCAAATGCCAAAGTAATTTGCAGAAATACAGTGTTAAGCAGTGGTATTGCTCGAATGAGAGACCTTGGTGCTGCATGAGATGCTTGACCCTCTGTGCTGATACAGGCATCTGCTGATACAGGCATCGCATACCTCCTTGTAATGTACTGGCAAAAATGGGAGAGCCTGCAAATTACTGAGCTTGGTGTGTGCTGTTGTAATTGTTGTTCCCTTTCACTCTCCCCATTGTGCCCAGGTACTGCTATTCACAACTATGATTGCTTTAAATAAGGTGGTAAAACGATTTCTTTGTAATTCCTGGCTCCATCTCTCTGTGTGTTGCATGTTATCATTCTTATTCCTTACTAAAAGATCCTCCAATCTTAGGGACATTACGTTACTGAGCTAAACTAAGCTATCAGAGGAGGGGGAGAAAACCAGTTACATTTTAAACGTAGGGTGAGTTTATGGACAGACTTTCAAATTTCATATGAAAATAGGCCTCAGTAAGGCAGAGCGTTTATATGTTTATAAATGAAGTTAAGAAGTGGCATACTCAAAAATCAAGAAACAGAAACTAACGTTACAATCGCAATGTTGAGTTCTATGGATGGTACTTTTAACCAGGTTTCTTCATTCAGGATAAGTTTTTAGTTATGATTTCTGTTATGACTGTCATACGTAGTGTCTGCAATTTAATAGTTATAACTGCAGCAGCATTTAAATGTTGGTTCATAAACAGTTGTTATGCATGATTTTTATTTTTTTTTCTTATCTAATCCAGGATTGCATTAGTGCTGTGTTTTGTTTTACGTGGTTATTGCAGGGCATGATTTCTCAGGGAAATACAGATGATACCATGCATTGTGAGAGCCGATAATTAATTCCTGCTTTTAAAATTGTTACAAATGTTTTCAGGTTTCACTCAAACATTTCATATCCCGTAACTTTTGTGTTGAACTTCCTTAGGCTTATCAGGTAAATCATGATGAGAACATTTAAAGGTGTGAAAAAATATACCCCAGCCAACACTTTGCTACTTTTTGACAAACATCCCTTCTAAACTGATGCTGCAATTAGTGTGGGCTTTTTCTGCTTTATTGTGCGCCATATAAATGAATAGTTCCACTGCTGATGTCAAAGCCACACGTACAGCATGACAGTGGCATTAACTTTCAGGGTTAGGAAACGCTATAGTAATACATAATCTGATTCTGGGGTAGAGTACCAGTATAAATCTTCTAACATATTCATTTATATCATTAAATTTTTAAAAAGTCTGTTCACTTTGGGGATTTTTTTTGTTTGTTTTTCCAGTAAAGTTACTTTGGCTAGACTGGGATTTGATCCAAAGCCCATGAGAGTCATAGACAGCATTAATAAAATAGAACTTTATTGAAAAGAAACTCTGCAGTCACGTTGACCTTTATGCCTTTGCAGTATTTCTGTCTGCAGCACGCATTTGGAGTGGTTTTGCTTTAAGACTTCAGTAAGATAAATTTGAAGGGTTTTAGTGCTGTTAAAAATGTAAACTGGTATGCATACTATTGTAACAGGTCACAAAACATATCTCCCTATAGCCAGTGTGCAGCTTAATTATTTAGAAGGTGAACTTGTCTTGCTACGTGACTTTTCTTTAAAACCAGTAATGTAAGAAATGTAAGAAATCCTAGTTGTATACTTGTAGGAGAATGTTTTGTCGATAGCAAGAATACATGATTGTAGTCCTCTTAGCCTTGAGGATCAGCTTCCTCTTCATGATTGCTGATTTGATGTTTCCATTTACATTCACTTTGCAAAGAAGGCAACAGGGCATTTCCTCTCTAGGTAAGGCTACAGAAATTGTATTTTGACTGCCCTAGTTCTCTCTATTATTAGAAATTTAACATAAAACAGAAATCATATTTCATCTGGTATTAGTAGGTAACCAGACTTTCCCTGGAATTCCTACACTGTGGTGTGGAACACCACATCCACAATGTCATCGAGTTTTTACTTCCTACTTTTTAAAAGGATAAAAGGCTTTTCTCTGAGGATTTTTGTAGAAAGCAGCTGTTTGGCTCTACAAGTGCAGGGTTCTTTAACTGCATCTCAGTCGATAAAGTTGTATCCAATGTTCCTTTTATTTTTTTTAATAAATTTTTGACTGTTTTGTCAGGGAAGGTATACAAATTTGGTGTATGTGTCACAGCTGGTTACTGGGATGGCCTCAGAAATAATAATACAGGGATGTTTCTGTAGTTCATCAGATAAGTTCCTGAATTTTTTTCCACAGTTTTTTTTTAAAAACAAACAAAACCCCATACTTACCAAGCTGGGGGGAATTAGCCATAGAACCAGTTTTTTTTTAAAAACAAACAAAACCCCACACTTACCAAGCTGGGGGGAATTAACCATTTAGCATAGAATTAATTTTATAAAATGGAAATTACTGTGTTTTCATTAGAGATATCCTTCAATATTAAAATGGAAATTACTGTGTTTTCATTAGAGGTATCCTTCAATTACTGATGTTGTCAGCCCACAAGTCTTTTCGTCCTTGTCTGTTACAGGTGATACTTCTACCTAAATCTGACCTTTTGCACGCCAATTAAACTAGTTCCTCTACCAGAACAAGTAATTACTAATATATTTTTAGAAATTCCTTCTTTTTTTCCGTTGCTGGTGGAACAGCAGGAGCTTTCCAGCCAAACAGCATCCCTTTCCTATTGGAGAAGACAAAAATAAAACCAAACCAGGAGCTTTCCAGCCAAACAGCATCCCTTTCTTATTGGAGAAGACAAAAATAAAGCCAAAACAAAAAACAAACAAACCAACAACAAGCAAAAGCCTTAGTTGAAAATAAAGAATGTTACTGGGCAGCATGTGGGATCAGCTGTAAAATCATGTGGGTCATTTCTTACATTGCGTAATTACATATAGAAAGTGCTTGGGCAATAGTGGATTGGATTGATCTCTGGTTGACCTTGATTTAATATCAATGTAGGTATTTTAAATAATTTTATTCTGAAGCTGAATGCTTAAATTAAGCCCTGTGATTGTTTAAAAAATATATAAATTAAAAAACTTGGAAAGAAAGATATTTGAGGAGAGAGTGTCCATACTGAAGAATTTTTTTCTCTATTTTGAGGGGTTTTGTGAAGTGTTTAAAAAGTTCCACATACAGTCCAGTTACAAATGAAAGATGTATTAATTGAAAATCATGACAGGCTGCTTATGCAAAGCTGCATTGAAATCTTAGCCAGTTGTTGAAGTTAATGTTACCTAAATGGAATTGAAGAAGTGTAATGAGTATGTGATACAGCTGAAAGGGGTCCTTGTAACAATTTAAAATTTCTCTAAGTGGAGAAATACCCACTCCAAAGAGTGGGTATTAATAAAACAAAATTGTTTATGAGACTTTTTCTTAGTTGTTTATACAGATTGCTTTGTGAAATGATGCACAAGACCAATAGTAGTTTTGGTGATCTTTGGCATTACATTTTGTATTAAGTTTCAGTGACTTCTGAATAACACTTCTAAAGCAGAAGCTGCTTTAACTAAAGAACTTTCAACTAAAGAAAACTCTTGTTTGCATGAAGTCTGTAGGGTTTGCTGATAATTCAGATGTTCTGGGAGCACAGCTAGTTCCACGTACATATCCTCTGTGAAACACCTTTATGCATAATCTTTTAACCATTTTCTTTAGTGAGACCGGGACCTGAATTGCTGATGCGTATTGCATTTGCACTTAAATACCTGATTTCAGAGTGTGTTAAACCTTCATCTGTTTTTGATAAAAAAGAAATGTAGCATTTTAATCTAGTTTCCATTTACAGATAAGTATATTCATGTGGAGAAAAACATATAATTATGGTTTGATGCAGTGATTTTTAAACCAAGAAAACAGCAGGATGGGCAGTAGTAAATCTGAAGTGAAGATGCGTGTCTCTCTGGAAAGTCTGGCTTCTGGTTTCTTCCTTCCCTCTTTATACCAAATTGATGTCTCCGTTATTCCAGAAATATACAGGTAAAGCAAGGACCAGAACTTTTACCCTTTGTTTTTTAAAAGTGAATATTGGCTTTTGCCTGAAGTTTTTGTCCTGTCACTTCATTTTCTGAGGGGGCTCGGTAAAGTGAGAAATACAGAATAAGTATTTTTAATTAAAATCAGATTTAAGCTATTAATTATTTTGAAATTCTCTATATTACTAGAGATCTAATTAATGGAAAATAAAGGCTTATATTGAAAATATTGAACAGTGCATATATATTTTTAACAAAATCAGTATATATATGAAAATTTGAAACGTACATAAAGGTGAAAATTGGAAGGTTGTTCTTGTGTTGATAGGCTTATAAATTGAAATTCTTAAGATCCAATACCAAAACCCTATAAAAGGGCTAATGAAAAGAAAATGTAATGTATTCTGATAAACAGCCTGTGTAATACAATCAATGGGTGTGATGTGTTTGTTCTGTATCATATTTATTATGTAAGTAAACAATAAAGATTATAAATCTTATTTTCCTAACAGGAATTAGTATTTGGTTGGGGTTAATGCTTAATTTGTCTTATGTCATCAGTTAATTAAAAATGAATGGTCAGTAGGGGTGGACTTCCTCGGGAGAACAGTGTGGTGGTAAAAAGGCCTTGAATCGACCCATTTAATTC